CCCGTGACCAGGGGGATGCTGCAACGGTCATAAGTGAGAAACATGGGGTCAAGTCTCCTTTTTCAGTGCCGTTGTAACTTCAAATGGTCACTAAATGTAACTCAAGAATTGCCTGTATCACCAAAAGAAAAGTATAAAGATTCAACATAAAAATGTTATCAATCTTGTTGTGTTCTACTTTGGATCATATATATATATACAGCAAACCAATTGCTGGGACTAATTATCTGAAAGGTCATTGCAATTCTTTTTTTTATTCCCCCCACTTAAAACTGTCTTAAATGGAAATAATTTGTAGGGACATAAAAGAAGATGCACTTATGAAGCAACTGATTATGCCAAGAAGGGCCTTCTCCAGAAATACATTTTGTCCCTGCTGTATGAATATTACATCTGAAAAAAAACCCAACTCTTCGCCTTTACAGACTTGTGCAGAATGTTTTGAAGTCACAATAAGATCTGAAATGCTCTTCTAACTTTCCTGGAAAGATTCTGAATTTGAAAGAGTCATCAGAACGGTGTCTATGGAGATGGTTGTCCCAGCGGTGCTTTTTTTACAAAAGGTAACTGGACTTTCTTGAGTTTTTTTTCTTGGAAGACATTTTGCTTCTCATCCAAGAAGCTTCTTCAGTTCCAATAAAGTCCATTGGCTTTTGGAAAAAGCACCTTTGGGTCACCAGAAAAGTCCACATCAAGATCAGAATGGCCTGTTTGGAGGAGGTGAAATTTGTGACTTGGCTTCACTAGTATGTTAATGTTGGTAGGAGTGATAACGTCAAGTTGGCTTCTCCAAGTTTTGAAACTAAGCAAAGTCATAATTAGGACCTAGAATCAAGACCATAAAGAACATTGGGACTATAGTTAGACTGGAAAGCTCTCAAAATATCCAATAGAAAGCTAGCACTATCATATAGCTTCATTCTTCAATCATCAGGAATCAACTTTGATTCAAAGGAGATTTACTAGCGCTGATACCTGCAACTCCATTAATTTATTTCCAATTTGTCTAAGGTGACCAAGATTAACAATAACACGAGCTATTGTTGTTATTGTTAGTTGCAAAGTTGTGTCCGACCCATCGCAACCCCACGGACAACCCTGTCCTCTACCATCTTCTGGAGTCCATTTAAGCTCACGCCTACTGCTTCAGTGACTCCATCCAGCCACCTCATTCTCTATCATCCCCTTCTTCTATTGCCCTCAGTCTTTCCCAGCATTAGGCTCTTCTCCAGGGAGTCCTTCCTTCTCATTAGGTGGCCAAAGTACTTGAGTTTCAACTTCAGGATTTGGCCTTCTAAGGAGCAGTCAGGGTTGATCTCCTCTAGGACTGACCGGTTTGATCGCCTTGCAGTCCAGGGGACTCGCAGGAGTCTTCTCCAGCACCAGAGTTCAAAGGCCTCCATTCTTTGGCGCTCAGCCTTTCTTATGGTCCAACCTTCACAGCCGTACATTGCAACTGGGAAAAACATGGCCTTGACTGTACGTACTTTTGTTGGCAGGGTGATGTCTCTGCTTTTTAGTATGCTGTCTAGATTTGCCATAGTTTTCCTCCCCAGGAGCAAGCATCTTTTAATTTCTTGGCTGCAGTTCCCATCTACGGTGATCTTGGAGCCCAGGATGTTTTTTTTTTCCCCAAAAGGCAACTGGATTTTCTTGGTGTTTTTCTTTGAAAACATTTCACTTCTCTCATCCAAAGCTGAAGAAACTTTTTGGATGAGAAATGAAATGTTTTCAAAGAAAAAAAAAATCAAGAGAGCCCAGTTGCCTTTTGAAAAAGAAAGCACCTTTGGGACAGCCATGGCCTGGATGATTGAGCATCTCCATAGACTGATGACTCTTTCAAATTCAGAATCTTTCCAGGGAGTTGAGAAGAGCATTTCAGAAGTCAGGATCTTCTGACTTCAAAATATTCTGCGCAAGTCTGTAAAGAATCTCCGTAGACATAAGCTATTGGTAAAATGAGTGGGAGAGTTAAATGACAAGGGGATGGATGGAGGTTCTAGGCCAGGAGAAGACGGGGTCAAGGGCCATGCATGACTGATGGCTCAGCGTTAGTCGAAACGTGACACAGGTAAGGCATGCGTGTTCTACTATACCTAAGATGGGAGCACTGGCGCTTCGGCTGCGATCTTCAAGCATCCAAAGAATGCATATAACCAGATGCACAAGAATATATCAAGGGCAACAAGATAAGACATATAAAAATTTAACACCTTCAAGATGGGGTAACAATACCAAAAAGAAAAAAAAAGACCCAATACATGCTCAGCACAGAGTAGTGGATTATATCAGAACGCTCAAACATTCACTTACTCACACCAAGCAAGACAACTGCTACTACTACTTAAGACATTTATGCGGCTTTACAGTGACTAGGGTCTCTTAAATAAGGTAGTTCTCGACACACAACTAGAATGGAGCCTGCCCAGTTTTACGGCCTTTCCTGCACACGGTCATTAACCAGATGATGAGGTCATTAAGTGAATGCCATGGTGATTAAGTGAACACAGCGGTCATTAAGCAGACCCATGCTTTGCTCTGGGTGTGGTTTTGAAGTAAAAAACGTGAAATAAGAGCCAGTTTTTTGGCGAAACCCGTCGTAAACAGCAATCACAAGATCCCGGGAGGCTGCAATTGTGTAAATGTGGTTGTGTTGCTGAGCACCTGAAGTTCAGTCATGTAGTTGCAGAGAGGTTGGCGGGACTCTGCTTGTGACTACGTAGGGATTCTAGGCTGATTCCCTTTTTCACTCCGCCCCCTAGTTCTGCCACTCCTTCCCCTACATCGCCACTTTCTACTTTACTTAAACCTAAAAATGTCACATGATCCTAGAGTCCAAGTATATATATGTACTTGGGAGTCCAAGTATATGTATGTATGTATGTATGTATGTATGTATGTATGTATGTATGTATGTATGTATGTATGTATGTATTTTTAAATTTTGGATTGCTAACAAAGAATTAAGGGAGAACTGGAATAGTTATTTCGAACTTTTTAGTTCTTTTCAACCAGACATACCCTTCTGAGATTCGAACCTGGGCTGTCTGCATGTTAAGCAGCTGTGATAACCTCTAGGCCACAGGCTCTTTCTCACTTTGTCAGCTGAAGAGACAGGGGAGAATTACCTTGAGTGCTTTTTATGCACCGTCGACCCAAATATGGGAGAAAGAATGAATGTATGTATGTATGTATGTATGTATGTATGTATGTATGTATGTATGTATGTATGTATGTATAATTTTTTCTATAGTGGAAAGATGGCATGACCCACAGCTATTGGCATAAAAACACCGGCATGAAGACTTATCTTCACACAGCAGAGTTCACCTGAAGTACCTACAGCCAATTAATTACTGAAATTAATCACCAAACACAATGTGCATTGCCTGTTATTTGGCCATACTTTCCCAGAAACCCAAGGATCCACCGTAGTCAGAATTTTGTGGAGACCGAATGAAATATTTGGTGTGATTTACTTTGGCTACCCAATGCTTCTTTCCCCATTTTGCAAATGGAAAATATCACAATCAGAGTGGAGCATTTCATCTCCTTCTGCCTATGAGGTACAGGCATTTAAAAATTGAATGCTACCGGACTTACCCAAGTTAGGAGCGCTTGCCGTTCTTTTGTTACTTTTGATCTTGAAGAAGCCTCGGCCGAAGGAAGACCTGGCTTTGCGAGACCCAAAAGCGTCTTCTTCGCCCGGAGACTTGCAAGGGAGTGTTACATATTTGCTATTCTCCACTGGCGATTTATTCTGATTGGTTAAAAAACAGAACAGGTCAAGTTTGCAGTAACATTCGGGGACGTCGCTGGACCCAAGTGCATTGAAGTCGGAAAGATCAAATGTCAAATGAAGACAGCATGCTCAAAATGTAGGCGAACGCTATGATTACACAAGAGGCATCTTATTTTGAAGTTCTCAAGAACTTTAAAGGCATATATTTTCTAAAGGATTCTAAAGGCTGTCGCCTCATGAAGTTTGGATAGGAGAGATGCAGCCATGACATATTCTCTGTTATCTCTAAAGCGGGAAATTCTAGCTTCATGGCAGCTAGGAAAACACGGTAAGATCTGATTTATGGTCCATTTTAATTTGCTTCAATGGGATAGAAAGATGTTTAATTTACTTTCAACTGTTGTTGCTGTTGCTGCTGTTGTTATTGATGTTGTTGTTGTTGTTGTTAAGACCAGGGGTCTTCAAACCTGGCCCTTTCATGACTTGTGGACTTCAACTCCCAGAATTCCTCAGCCAGGCACGCTGGCTGAGGAATTCTGGGAGTTGAAGTCCACAAGTCATGAAAGGGCCAGGTTTGAAGACCCCTGATTAAGACTTTTGCAATTGCATTTTCATCCCAAATACAATTCTCATTTAGTTTTTACATTTCTCTGAATTTTGTAATGCGTGAACATTTGCAAACTCTGTAAATTGGCGAGAAACCACAAATGAGAATATTGTTCAACAATAAAGGAATATCATAGGTAGAAAAACAACCAACTCTGCTTATCCCATTACCTCTTCTTGCTTGTGTCTGGACTCTTTATCCTGTGGGGAAAAATTGGGCATATTAAATATATTACATAAATTTCAATGAATCACTGATGAATCATTAATGTTAATTAAAACATGTTCAAGTCATCTATGACACACAACTAAAATACCCTGATTATCTTATAAAGTAATCTGTTTTATCCTGTTTAGAGCCTTTAGACGTTGATTTTGAAAAAAAGACAATGAAAAGCTTTTTCTATAAAAATGGTAAACACTATTTTTTTCCCCAAAATAAACCTAGCTAGAATGACATACAGATGTATTTCCATGATGTGTGTATGATTGGAAAGGTTTAATCTCTCTCTATTTTGCTATCGCACAAATGAAGCTTCCAGCACATAAATGATTTTTAAGTAATTAATATTCACAGGCAATCCAAAACCCAGATATACAGATGAAGGACTGAAAAGAACAGTATAAGTTAATATTAACAGATCAATCATTAATAAGAATATGTGCGTGTATGTGCGTGTTGTGTGTATGTGTGTGTTTAAAAAAGGTAGGATTACGCACCTCTGAGGCTTCTTTCTTCAAGTTTCCAAGACTGCTAGATTTTTGTAGAGCTGAGCTTTTGGAACAAATTATAAGAAAAGTAAGCAAGCAAAAATTGAATCTTGGGTCTCGTGCATTAATTCAATGAGCAAGGTAAACATTAAAACAAATTACATCATCATTTTTTAAGTCAGGAGTGCAAGAAAAGCGAACAACGTAAGACTTAGCTATCAAATTGAGGAAGTTCTCCAATTGACATGTCATTGAAGGAGAGAACTAGGAATCTCAAGAAAACCCAATGGGTTTTCCACATCTTACTCCTTGAAAACCTAGCCCTTAACAGTGACATGATTTTTTTCCAGTAGAGGAAAAAAAAAACTGGTTAGAATAATTAAAGGAAAAAATCTGATATGCATGGGGCATGGTCAAGAAACTAGAGATTAATCAGTCTTCAAACTGGTTGGGCTGTTGTTCCAAATTTGGAAATACTTCCTGAATAACCAGGACACCTTTAGAATGCTTTTGGTAAGTTCAGATCCATTGTTTTAAACCAGGTTTGAATTCCAAACGTGTGGGATGGAATGTCTTAAATTCCAAATGTTTTCCACACAACTACAAATAAATAAATAAATAAAACTTTGTCCCTAATGTGAGTTATGTGCATATCCACAAATGAGACATGGTATGGATGGAAGAGACTATTGTGCTGGAGCCCATCCTGAGGGAACCTCTCTCTAGCAGATTGAATCCTGCAACATTATCCGGGGACGCATATATTTGCCTTCATTTGTGAACTTCATCAGTGTCTGATTAACTGCCACAAAACCACCAAACTCAGAGAGCTCTAAGGCAGGGCTTTTCAACCTTTTCACCCATTGTACCACTTTTAGGATATGGCAACATCCGAGTACCACCAGTCGCCTAGCAAGGTGTCAAAAACTTGATGACCCCAAAAAAAGGAAAAAAGTGATAAAGTACAGGTAGTCCTCGACTTACAACAGTGTGCTTAGTGACTGTTCGAAGTTACAATGGCACTGAAAAAAGTGCCCCCCAAGCCACAGCCGAGCAAGACACCTGCCTGCCCGCCCGGCCGCGCTCTTCCTCCTGTCCGAGGTTTTCATTTGTTGTGAGCATTTCTGTTGAGGATTGGCAGCGAGGGTGGGGTGGGGGGTGTTTGGTTTTTATTCCCTCCGTCTGCTGGGTGGTTGCAGCAAGTTTTGGTCACTTCACATGACCCTAGGACACTGTGACCGTCATAAATATGAATCAGTTGCCAAGCATCTGAATGTAAATCACAAGACCCTGGAGATGCTGCAACATTCCAGCTGATCGGAGCTTCTCCTGGGCTCAGCAGAAGCGTCAGGATCAGTGCTGCTTTCCAGCTGGTTGGTGCTTCTTCAGGGCTCAGCAGAAGCACCAGGATCAGCGCCGAGCCTGGCGTTGATCCTGGCGCTTCTGCTGAGTCCTGACAGCCCCGAAGAAGTGCCGATCCTGACACTTCCACTGAGCCCTGACAGCCCTGCAGCTCCAGCCATCTCTCGCTCAGACTTGTGTGATGCTGCCACTGGTTCAGCTCATTCCCCTTCCCCACTACCACTTTTCTAGGATGGTCGCGTACCACCTGCCAGGTGCCAATGTACCACAGGTGGTACCCGTACCACTGGTTGAAAAGCCCTGCTCTAAGGACCCCAAAGAGACATGGTCTTGTGAAAACATTTTTCTAAGATAATGCCCGTGCTTATGTGAAACATTGCTCAGGATTCACAGTCCTGTACAACTGGCAATGAGTTGCTACTATACAGAACAACAGAAATATTTCACTTGGCGCTTTTTGATTATATTATTATAGCTCAAATAAGAAGCCCAGTGAGGGTGATCAAATAGGGCAAGGAATCGCCTGATAAATTCCAATTTAATAGTCCCTGGAGATTCAATTTCCCTCTAAAATTAATTGATGTTATGGGGCTAAAAATTAAAAAAGGCAATAAATGTGTTCAACAGTATGAAGAATCATATAATTGAATCCATTATCCTCAAGCTGTCAGAACAGAAAACTTTGCAAGTGCACACTAGTTCTGAAAATTCATTCTCCTGCCATTTTTCAAACTACGTTTCCAAAACCAGACATACAAAAGATCAAACCGCATGCCTTTTCCTCGTGATTCAAATAACAATATGCAACGAATAAACCCCTACAGGGTTCCAATCATGCAGACAATAAGCATGCTGCCTTTATTTCATTTATTTTTAATTTTAGTTTTCAGATTCAGTTTCCAAAACTGATTTGCCACACAAGCAAAGGAACAATTGCTTGAAAAGTCATGCTTCGATAATAACGAAGAGAAATTATTCTCCTAGAATTATATCTTTGCAAAAGAGACTTTAAAAATGAAACGCTTTGCTAAGGTAAAATGTTTTATCTTTTTTTCCTGAATTTGAGAACTGGCTTGGTGCAGTGGTTATAAGACTCTGAATTTCTAGTCTTGCAATTAGGCCGTACTCAGTGTGTGGTCCTCAATGGAACCACATCTACATGGAGGGAAGTGTGTAGTGGGGTGCCCCAGGGCTCTGTTCTAGGCCCAGTGCTCTTCAACATCTTCATCAATGATCTGGACGAGGGGATAGATGGGGAACTCATCAAATTTGCAGACGACACCAAGCTGGCAGGAATAGCCAACACTCCAGAAGACAGGCTTAGGATACAGGAGGATCTGGACAGACTTGAACACTGGGCACTGTCTAACAAAATGAAATTCAATGGTAAAAAAGTAAGGTTCTACATTTAGGCAAGAAAAACCAAATGTACAGGTATAGTATAGGGGGTACCTTGCTCGATAGTAGTAACTGCGAGAGGGACCTCGGAGTCCTAGTGGACAATCATTTAAATATGAGCCAGCAGTGTACTGCAGCTGCCAAAAAAGCCAAAACAGTGCTGGGCTGCATTAACAGAGGGATAGAATCAAGATCACGTGAAGTATTAATACCACTTTACAATGCCTTGGTAAGGCCACACTTGGAATATTGCATCCAGTTTTGGTCACCACGATGTAAAAAAGATGCTGAGACTCTAGAAAGAGTACAGAGAAGAGCAACAAAGATGATTAGGGGACAGGAGGCTAAAACATATAAGGAACGGTTGCTGGAATTGGGAATGTCTAGTTTAACGAAGAGAAGGACGAGGGGGGACATGATAGCAGTGTTCCAATATCTCAGGGGCTGCCCCAAAGAAGAGGGAGTCAAGCTATTCTCCAAAGACCCTGAAGACAAAGACAAGAAGCAACAGGTGGAAACTAATCAAGGAGAGAAGCAACCTAGAACTAAGGAGAAACTTCCTGACAGTTAGAACAATTAACCAGTGGAACAACCTGCCTCCAGAAGCGGTGAATGCGCCAACACTGGAAGTTTTCAAGAAGAAACTGGACAGCCATTTGTCCGAAATGGTATAGGGTTTCCTGCCTGAGCAGGGGGTTGGACTAGATGACCTCCGAGGTCCCTTCCAACTTTATCAATATAGAATTTTATTGTTTTTATCATAAGCAAAAAAATACATCACAAGTATTACACAATGATTTATCCCATCCCCCTACCCCCCAGACTTCCCAAACCAAACCTAGGCTAACATTCAACTACAAGTAAACAAATATTAATATCTCTAACTCCAAACTCTAAACTTAAGCAATCCATCTCCTCCGTGTTAATAAAAATTATTCATTTAATTAGTTCTTCAAATACCCAA